TAGCGAGACTCGGTTTCCGACAGGGAGTTTTCCAGAGAGCTTTTCTGGAAAGGCAAACACAGGAGTTGAGGAGCAGAGTTCTACATCTCCCTGCCCGTGCCAAGGAGGGAAGGGCTCCCAGATGCTGCCCACGTACCGTGCTGAGCTGTGCCTGCAGTTCGATCTCCAGGTTCTGCATCTCACGCCTCAGCTCGGAGAGCTGGTGGCTGCTGGTCTGGATGTCCTGGCTGCTGGAAGTGACCTGCTGATTGACTTCTTGGATCTGCAGAGTCAAACCCCAGAGACGCTTTCTGAGCCACGAGGGAGCAGATGTGCTGAATGAGAGCTCACATCTGCAGGGAGCCTCTCTGTTTCAGCCAGTCCCAGTACCAGGGTGTCTGGGCTGTGCCACCAAAGGAGACTCCACTCTGGGCATTGCTACATACCTTGACCTCATACCACTGCTCCACCTCCCTGCGGTTCTTCTCAATGATCTGCTCATATTCATCTCTCAGGTCATTGAGGATCTTTGTCAAGTCTTGTCCAGGGGCAGCATTGACCTCCACGCTCACATCGCCACCAGTCTGGGACTGGAGCTGCCTCATTTCCTGCAGGGAATCCAGAGAGAGATACAAGAGCACACACAGGTCATTGTTCTGCTGGAGACTGTGGGCAAAGCACTACCAAGATACAAAGGAACGACAATCCCATGGCATAATGTGAAATGGACTGGATATGTGATGGTGGGAGCCATGAAGAATCAGGGGATTGTGTCTTTGGCTGTGCTATTTATCATTGGATCGTACCTCCTCATGGTTTCTCTTGAGAGCAATCAGCTCATCCTTCAAGGACTCCAGCTCAGATTCCAGTGAAGACCGAGTGGTAGTGAGACCTTCCAGGATGTTTCTCAGGCCATTGATGTCAGCCTCCACGGTCTGACGGATGACCAGCTCATTCTCATACCTGTGTCACACACACAGAGACAGAGAAATGGGGGAATGAGATGCTGCAGTCAATAGCACACATCCTTCTAAGATCAGTATTCCAGTAAAACGGGATGACTCAGTAATACCACCAGGGCAGTCCTCCCTTGCCTTCCTAGATGGTGATGAGAGGGATTTTACAGACAGGCAAGGTTCACAGGGAGCTACTCACTTCATTCTGAAGTCATCGGCAGTCATCTTGCTGTTATCGATGTCAAGAAGCATTCTGTTATTGTCCACAGTGGCAGATATAATCTGCAAAAGGGGAAAGTGGAGAGGAGTCTTTCTGTGTTCTAGATTTTCAAGACAGGCAAAAAGAAGGCTCTAAGCTTTGGTAGGGTGTTACTGGGGGTCTTAGAATTGTTACTTGCAGTAGTGCAGGGGCCATATGGAAGGGTAACGATCCAGATTTACTTTTCAGGGAAGCTTCTGCTATCACAGACCATCCTGCCAAATCCATGCTCTTCCTTTTCTCAAGATAGAGACAGCTCTCATGAGTCCCAAAGAGTGTTTGCAGCCCTTTCTATATAAAGTGCTTCTTCACAGTGTCTGTTTAATCTGGTTTTTTGGTACTGTGTGACCTGATTGTAATGGAAGACCTCAGTCGTTCTACCTGGTGTCTGTAGGAGTGTGAAGGGGAAAAGGGAGCTCCAATCCTACTTGGGCTTTGCACTCCATCCAGCCGATCTGGCTGGGAGCAGAGGGAAGCTCTGCAAACCACACATGGCTGGTTTGGAGCCACCTGCACAACGTGGGATGCACGGTGCGTGAGCCAGCGTGTCTGTGGCTGCTGGAGCTGCTGGTGCCTGGGGCTGTGCCCTGCTGCCCGTGGGCTGCTGTGAGGGTTTGCTCAGCCAGGGGATGGGAGGTGCAGCTCAGCAGGTTGTGATACCACCAGCACAGCCATGCCACCTGTGGTGGTAGAGCCCAGTGCTGGGGACAGAAGGAGGAGGAAGAAGCAAAGAGGAAGGAGGAAGGCCTTAGAGGAGAGAGGAGCATGTGGGAGATGGGAGATGGAGCCACGTGTGCCGGGATGATCGTACCTGACTTTGGAGTTGTTCAATGGTCTGGTAGTAGGAGCTGTAGTCCTTGGAGACGCTGGGAGCTTGTTTCCTGTACCACTCGCGGATGTGGTGCTCAAGCTGAGCGTTCTCTTCCTCCAGCATTCGCACCTTGTCCAGGTAAGAGGCCAGGCGGTCGTTGAGGTTCTGCATGGTGAGCTTCTCATTGCCGCTGAGCAGCAGGTCCCCCCCGGGGCCGCAGCTCCCCGCAAAGCCCCCGCCAAAGCCCCCGGCCAGGCCGCCCATGCTCAGGCCGCCCCCGTAGCCCCCGCAGGCTGCCCCGCCGTAGCTGCCCCCGCCGATGACGGAGGAGGCGTAGCGCCGGCAGGACATGGAGGAGCTGCGGCCGCTGCTGCCGCCGCAGGCGCCTCCACCTCCTCCTCCGCTCCTGTACGAGGTGCTGGATGTTCTCTTGATGCTGCAGCTCATGGTGAAGGGATCAGAGACTCAGCCCCAGATGCAAAGCTCTGCACAGCGAGATAGAGGAAATCAAAGTGCAGCGGGCTGTCCTTGCTGGTGGCTATTTATACCTGCCCAGGTGGGTGTCACCTGCCAGGCAGTCCAGCTTCCCATGGGGTTTGCCAGCCACAGTGCTCATGCC